TTGCAGCTAGTAAGAACACAGAGGAAGGTAGTGAGGGACATCGTGTTACCTGTGGCAAGAAGGTCCGCTTGGTATGCTCGATCAGAAGCAGTTTTGCAAGCAATGCTTTGCAGTCAATGTACCAATCTCCGAACCGAGGCTGTAGAAGTCATTCTAAAGATTAGAGGAATGCTAATAGATGACGACCAGTTGGGAGACTGTTCGTTTCATTCAAGAAAAGTTCCCCCAATAAACGTCAATGCCACCAAATTGTCAGAATTGGTTGACTTGAGTTTGGAAGTCTTAGAGCCACCATTGACAACAAGTCTAACTAGCCAAGAATTGAGAAACCTTAAAGAGACTCCAATGCAGGTGCCGAAGTGGCCTTCCCACACTCAAAGTGTGGAGAGATGTGTGAAAATGGTCACAGAAGCAGCGGGCCATGTTTACAGCCACGAGAGGCGAGAAGGTTACATCAAAGCACAAATAGCAAGCAGACTACTGATGACAAGAAACCAAAGCAAAGAGAGTATGAAGGCATTGGTTACTTTCAAATAGACTACGGATAATAAAATATAATAATTTGAAACTTGAAACAGTAACATGTGTGCAAACGCTGGTTATGTTATAAATTCACAAATATGTACATTTAAAAATCCATTTGATGTAGGTAGGACTTATTATAAAAAAAAATTTATGCCAGAATATTGTTTTGCATGCTTAAAGACTACAATAAATTGCTACCAAATTACTCGATTTTCAATTTAGCCAGTTCACCCCCTAAATTGACACACCCTAATACACACACCACGCCCTTCAAGTTCCGACGCACAGCAGCCAGCCCCCAGCACAACAAACATACCCTCTGCTGGTATCACCAGACTTTCGGCCGCAATGCTCGAAACTGTGAGCCCTATTGCACCTATTCGGGAAACGGCAACACCGGAGGCTGGTAGACGCCTCAGCCTCCGTCCTTCCAGGTGTCTCATTACTGCGCGTCGCCGACCGCACCTCCGGCAAGAAGTTCCTCATCGACACAGGTTCATCGGTCAGCCTCATCCCTCCCTCACTAGGAGACAAGTCAAAGCAACCCTCTTATGACCTGTTCGCTGCCAACGGTACCTCCATCGCCTCCTAAGGCGTACGCACCCTCGCCTTAGACCTCGGTCTCCCCAAGACTCTGCGTTGGTTATTCGTGATAGCAGACGTGTCTCAACCCATCCTTGGTTTCGACTTCCTCACCTTCCACAAGCTCGGCGTCAAACCAAGTCATCTATGCCTCATCCATGAGCCTACAGCACGCAAGATCCAGGGTTCTCGTGCCAGACACACCGACACTATCACCTGTCTTGCGCCTTCCAACGAGTTCTCCTCCCTGCTCGGCGAATTCAAGGAGCTTTTCTCACCCCGAGTCTCCCTACCCCCACCACCTACATCGGGAATTTTCCACCACATCGAAACCAAAGGACCACCAGTTTTTTCACGCCCTCGCCGGCTGCGCCCTGAGCTCTTGAACACAGCCAAAGTAGAATTGAACAAACTACTGCAAGACGGCATCATTCGCCCTTCAAGGAGTCCCTGGGCATCGTCTCTTCACATGGTTCCTTAGCAAACACCCGGCGAGTGGAGGGTGTGTGGCGACTACAGAGCCCTGAATCTCGTCACCAAACCTGACAGGTACCCTATTCCGCATGTCCAGGACTTTCACCACAAACTTCATGGCAAGACTATCTTCTCAAAGATCGACTTGGAGCGTGCCTTCCACCAGATCCGAGTAGCACCGGCAGATACCCAGAAGACAGCCATCACCACTCCGTTTGGACTCTTCGAGTACACTTTCATGAGTTTTGGCTTACGCAATGCAGCACAGACTTTACAGAGGTACAAGGACCATATGCTTCACGACCTCGATTTTGTCACCATCTACATTGACGACATCCTCGTTGCATCTTCGACGCTTGCCGAGCACCGCCACCACCTACAACTCCTTCTCCAACGCCTGCAGAACAACAACATGAAAGTTCATCCTGCTAAGTGCGTCAGTGGAACCTTGGCCATCGATTTCCTCGGTCACAGGGTCTCGCCCAGTGGCATACAACCCCTACCACAGAAGATAACTGCGATTAGGGAGTTCCCCAAACCTGAAACGGCGAAGAAACTCCGAGAATTCCTGGGTTTAGTCAACTACTACCACCGCTTCATTGACAAAGCTGCCACCGTCCTAGCCACCCTACACGACCTTCTCAAGGGACGCCCAAAGAAGTCTCACAAGTCTCTCGTGTGGACTCAAGAGGCTACTACGGCATTCACCACTATCAAACAGCACATTACACCCTCACCCTCCTGGCCCACCCCGCACCTAACGCCCGGACCACTCTCACAACAGACGCTTCTTCTACTGCAGTGGGCGCCCTCTTACAGCAGGAGATCAACGGAATTTTCATGCCCGTTGCTTTCTTCTCACAACGGCTTCAACCACCACACCCTCAAGTACAGCGCTTTTGATCGAGAACTCCTGGCCAAACATTTCCAGCACTTCCTCGAGGCTCGTCAGTTCACCATCTTCACTGATCACAAGCCCCTCGTCCACGCCTTCGCTTCAGCTTCCCAGTCACATACACCTCGTGTCCTGCGCCACTTGGCTTACATCTCGGAGTTCTCCAGCGACGTCCAACACATTAAAGGCGGCCACAACGAGATCGCCGACGCCCTCTCTCGTTGTATATCCACCATTCTTCCCTCATCTCCACCCATTGATTATGGGCAGCTAGCCGCGGCTCAAGAGAAAGACGAAGACCTGGCAGCATACAAGACATCCCCATCAGGCCTCATACTCCAAGAACTCCCTGTTCCTGGCACAAAGATAAAATTGTGGTGCGACGGACAGCCTAGACCGTTCGTGCCGCACGTCCACCGCCGCGCTGTTTTCGACCGCATCCATGGTCTCAGCCACCCGGGTGTGCGGGCCTCCCAGCGCCTCCTCACGCAACGTGTTGTCTGGCCCGGCATCAAGTCTGATACTAAGAAATGGGCTGCCCAGTGCCTGGCCTGCCAGTCCTCCAAAATACATCGTCACATACGGGCCCCCTTACAAACCTTCCCTATTCCCAAAGGACGTTTTCAAGTAGTGCACCTCGACATCGTGGGACCTCTTCCATCATCCTACGGTAGCACCTACATCTTCACCTGCATCGACCGTTTCACCAGGTGGACAGAAGCAATTCCCATGCCCAACGCTACAGCAGAGACTACTGTCCGCGCCTTCATGTCCAGTTGGGTTTCCCGTTTTGGCCCCCCGCAACCGTAATCACTGACCGAGGAGTACAGTTTGAGTCAGAACTCTGGCAGCACCTCCTACGGTTCCTCGGCACGTCTAGACAACGCACTACAGCATACCACCTTCAAGCCAACGGCATGGTAGAGCGTTTTCACCGGCAGCTGAAGGACGCACTCAAGGCACAGCACGACCCTTACAGCTGGACTGATGCGCTTCCCTTAGTGCTCCTCGGCATCCGTGCGTCACACAAGGAGGATATGGACTGTAGCCCAGCAGATCTGACACTAGGCGAGCCCCTTCGGCTACCCGGGGATTTCTCACTTCCTCCTGATCCCAACCAAACCACTCCAGCCGTTCGTCACGACTTACTCCAAAAGCTACGACAAGCAGTTTCTGCATTCAGAGCTACTTCTCCACGCCAGCCTACTCGGCGCCCTGAACACATCCCTCCTGCACTACTCACAGCCGAGTATGTTTTCGTCAGGCATGATGCTCACCGCAACCCATTACAACGCCCCTACGATGGACCCTTCCAAGTGGTAACCCGTTCAGCAAAGTTCCTGACTATTATCCGGAATGGCAGACATGACACCGTCAGCATAGACCGAGTCAAACCAGCCACCTTACCCGTCGGGCCCTCAGCCCAGCAGCACCATCAACAAACTACGCCTGCACCAGTCTACCCGCAGTTACCACCGGCAGCAACACCACGCCCACGACATTTCTGGGCACCCTCTTTTCACCCTCATGTACACCCTGTTCCTGCTGTAGAACCTGCCCCTGTCATAGACCCTCCTCCTGTCATAGAACCTGAACCTGTAATAGACCTCCCTTCTATCATAGAACCTGCTCCTGCCATGGACCCCCCTCCTGACGCAGCCCCTGCAGCAGCAGGAGCACAACAACCATTGCTTGTACAACCTCCTCTAATCCCAAACCCTCTTTCTCCTCCTAATTCTCCCACAGGTTTTGTGTCACTAGACAGAGTTGTTACACGTAGCGGCCGAGTCGTACATACACCTGCCCGGTATGTGTTATGTGTGGGACACAACCCGGACAACATCCAGCCTCCCGCCGCGCCGGGAGGGGAGGGGGAGTATTGTAGTGGACGTCTCCCCTACAACTGCGTAGCTGCAGGCCACCTGCGACGTCTTCCCTAGCAACCAAACTAGCGGCCCAGAGGGGGGCGTCACCAGATGCCGCAGTATCCTAGCAAGGGAGCCAAAGACCGGCGACTTTCTCGGGTTTTCCCACCATGACTCATAGATGACTCACGGCTGCTGGGTATATAGGCTCTGTCTCTCCATTGAGATTCATTCTGCTCTCGGTTCCTGAACATGCAACACCTCCTCCAGCAAGCTTCTCGCTGTCCAGCTTTCATTCAACCAGGAGACCAGCAACAGGCAACATCTTCTCTAACGAAGCTCCTGCACATCTACCTCCTTCAACACGCTACTCACCGAACGTGTCTACTGAGCAGCTCCTCACCACACGGCACCTCCAGCACCAGACTGTCTATCATATAACTTATATTATACAAGAAAACCACCTTAGAGTTTCTATCCATCCTGAGTGCTAGACAACATTATATCACGAAACCCTACAATAATAATAATAATAATATTATTATTATTATTATAATTATTTTATTATATTTTCGCCCACCAGGCCTTGATGAGGGTCATAAAATGATCTGTGCCCGGGTGGGCTAATGCCCGTAAAAAAAAAAAAAAAAATCATTCACCTTAACCATCACTCTTGCACTGTTGTCTTTATTTTTGATGTCTCAAGTTCTGAACAGAAGAGGTTATTGGGCGTTGTCCTCTATACTAACTCTTATTATCCACTCTGTATCTGTATTTTTCTGGCTAAATAAACTGTTTCAATTCAGTTCAATTCAATTCAATTAGTTACTGCGTTTTTTTATATAATCCAAAATAAGGTGATGTCACTTATGCTGTCTTTCGTTTGAGAATGATCTCATATTTCATTTCAGTTCATCTCGTTTACTTAAGGTGGATCATGTCACTTCCACAGAACATTCAAATTCGTCTACTCCTACTTAACACGTGATTCAGTGACAGCTGATTACTTGTGGTATAAACCGTGTATTATGTGATATTCATAATACGATACCCACACACATTCTAAAGAAAAGGTGTGTTGATGTCACTGTGTTTGTTTACACTACAGAACAGCAGGTTCTGTACCTACGCTCACTTCTTTTATCTTATCTCTTATCGGCGACCGCTATATGTTATCACTCTCATCACTCTCAAGAACATGGGCTGGGAATTATAGTTTTCTCCATTTAAGGTATATTTTCAACTTGAAACATTGTTTTGATATGTTAAATATAAGGATAAAGTCACCGAGTATACATGATTGTACTTTATTTCAGTCCTACATACCTTCATGCCACCCTGGTCATTTTGGTGCATGTTCTTTTACTTTACTCCATTCTCTTCGCCACTTGTCAGCTTGTTAGCAGATTGGTCGATCCGTCACGTCACTGTTACGCACCCTGGCACACGTTCACTCATGGGTGTGCTAAATTAAATTTCCTGTTTCCCCAGCAACGAAAGTAAAAGTAAAAGTAGATTTATGATCCGAAGATTTAATTCATTTGCCTAACATAACGCAACAGTTAATGTTAATAACTTCGCTTATACATTAATATGAATTTTCAATTTATATAGTACTTTATCAGTGGTAAAATATAAAATCAAAGTTTAGTAATAGGTGCAAGAAACTAAGTAAAAGTTGAAAAATAGCCCTACTGCTATTACTATGGTTAACTACTGGTCACACAGTCACGCAACATGTCACCATAATACTCCCTTGTCATTGGTTAAAGATTTATTTGTTCCATCCACCTTGGGATTTCATAAGGAAGGCCGTGGACCTGTAGTGGAAGTCTCCCTTACAACTGCGTAGCCACATTCCAATGCCACAGTATCCTAGCAACCAGCCACCTGCTACGTATTCCCTAGCAACCAAACGAGCGGCCCAGGGGGGGGCGTCACCAGATGCCACAGTATCCTAGCAACCAGCCACGTCTTCCCTAGCAACGGAGTCAAGAAACCGGCGACTTCCCATGGGTTTACTTCCGGCGGCTGTGTATATAAGCTCTGTCTCTCCATTGAGATTCATTCTACTCTACGTTCCTGAACACGCAACACCTCCTCCAAGCAAGCTCCTCGCTGTCCAGCTCTCATTCAACCTGGAGGCCAGCAACAGGCAACATCTTCTCTAACGAAGCTCCTGCACATCTACCTCCTTCAACACGCTACTCACCGAACGTGTCTACTGAGCAGCTCCTCACCACACGGCATCTCCAGCACCAGACTGTCTACCATATAACTTATATTATATAAGAAAACCACCACCTTAGAGTTTCCATCCATCCTGAGTGCTAGACAACATAATATCACGAAACCCTACAAATGGTGACCCCCGGAAAAAAGCACTCACACAGGATGGAGGACGGACGGATCTCTCTACCGACTTTCAACCACAACGTCGAGGACTGGTTAGATCATGTGGAAGCAGCCCTCGTCGGCTCACAAGCGACTGACGAGCAAAAGTATGGCGCCCTGCTCTGTGCCTTGCCCACAGAAGTCGCCTCACGGGTCTCACAGACCATTTCCAACCCTCCAGATGACAACAAATTCGCTACCCTGCGGGATGCCTTGAAGACGCGTTATCAACAGACCAGCCCTAATCTCCTGCAAGACCTATCCTCTATCTCCCTCGGTAACTCAACCCCGGGACGTCTCTGGGAGGAGATGTGTAGGCTGAACTCCCGTCACACAGACACACTCCCCGACTCTATCCTGCGCCAGCTTCACACACAAAAGCTACCCACAGAAGTATGCAACATCCTGTCCGCAGTAGATTACTCTACGACACCAGAACTATATGCAACGCGGCAGACAGAATTTTCAACGAGTGCGCTGCTGCACCCCTTGCCGCCACGGTCACACCAGTACCTACCACCGAACTTGGAAGCCGGTTTAACACCCCTCAGCCGAGCAATGCCTCACAAGACATCAAGGACCTGTTGCAAACTTTGAACCGCAGGATGGACACCATTGAGCAGTTCTGCTCCTCCATACCCTCTGCTGCGCCAGTTCCTGACTCACACACCACGCCCTACAAGTTCCGACGCACAGCAGCCAGCCCCCAGCACAACAAATATACCCTCTGCTGGTATCACCAGACTTTCGGCCGCAATGCTCGAAACTGTGAGCCCTATTGCACCTATTCGGGAAACGGCAACACCTGAGGCTGGTAGACGCCTCAGCCTCCGTCCCTTCAGGCGTCTCATTACTGCGCGTCACCGACCGCACCTCCGGCAAGAAGTTCCTCATCGACACAGGTTCATCGGTCAGCCTCATCCCTCCCTCACTACAAGACAAGTCAAAGCAACCCTCTTATGACCTGTTCGCTGCCAACGGTACCTCCATCGCCTCCTACGGCGTACGCACCCTCGCCTTAGACCTCGGTCTGCCCAAGACTCTGCGTTGGTTATTCGTGATAGCAGACGTGTCTCAACCCATCCTTGGTTTCGACTTCCTCACCTTCCACAAGCTCGGCGTCAAACCAAGTCATCTATGCCTCATCCATGAGCCTACAGCACGCAAGATCCAGGGTTCTCGTGCCAGACACACCGACACTATCACCTGTCTTGCGCCTTCCAACGAGTTCTCCTCCCTGCTCGACGAATTCAAGGAGCTTTTCTCACCCCGAGTCTCCCTACCCCCACCACCTACATCGGGAATTTTCCACCACATCGAAACCAAAGGACCACCAGTCTTTTCACGCCCTCGCCGCCTGCGCCCTGAGCTCCTGAACACAGCCAAAATAGAATTCAACAAACTACTGCAAGACCGCATCATTCGCCCTTCAAGGAGTCCCTGGGCATCGCCTCTTCACATGGTTCCTAAGCAAACACCCGGCGAGTGGAGGGTGTGTGGCGACTACAGAGCCCTGAATCTCGTCACCAAACCTGATAGGTACCCTATTCCGCATGTCCAGGACTTTCACCACAAACTTCATGGCAAGACTATCTTCTCGAAGATCGACTTGGAGCGTGCCTTCCACCAGATCCGAGTAGCACCTGCAGATACCCAGAAGACAGCCATCACCACTCCGTTTGGACTCTTCGAGTACACTTTCGTGAGTTTTGGCTTACGCAATGCAGCACGGACTTTCCAGCGGTACATGGACCATATGCTTCGCGACCTCGATTTTGTCACCGTCTACATTGACGACATCCTCGTTGCATCTTCGACGCTTGCCGAGCGCCGCCACCACCTACAACTCCTTCTCCAACGCCTGCAGAACAACAACATGAAAGTTCATCCTGCTAAGTGCGTCTTTGAAACCTCGGCCATCGATTTCCTCGGTCACAGAGTCTCGCCCAGTGGCATACAACCCCTACCACAGAAGATAACTGCGATTAGGGAGTTCCCCAAACCTGAAACGGCGAAGAAACTCCGAGAATTCCTGGGTTTAGTCAACTACTACCACCGCTTCATTGACAAAGCTGCCACCGTCCTAGCCCCCCTACACGACCTTCTCAAGGGACGCCCAAAGAAGTCTCACATGTCTCTCGTGTGGACTCAAGAGGCTGCTACGGCATGCACCACTATCAAACAGCACATTACACGCCTCACCCTCCTGGCCCACCCCGCACCTAACGCCCGGACCACTCTCACAACAGACGCTTCTTCTATTGCAGTGGGCGCCGTCTTACAGCAGGAGATCAACGGAATTCTCATGCCCGTTGCTTTCTTCTCACAACGGCTTCAACCACCACACCTCAAGTACAGCACCTTTGATCGAGAACTCCTGGCCATGTACCGAGGAGTCCAGTTTGAGTCACAACTCTGGCAGCACCTCCTACAGTTCCTCGGCACGTCTAGACAACGCACTACAGCATACCACCCTCAAGCCAACGGCATGGTAGAACGTTTTCACCGGCAGCTGAAGGACGCACTCAAGGCACAGCACGACCCTTACAGCTGGACTGATGCGCTTCCCTTAGTGCTCCTCGGCATCCGTGCATCACACAAGGAGGATATGGACTGTAGCCCAGCAGATCTTACACTAGGCGAGCCCCTTCTGCTACCCGGGGATTTCTCACTCCCTCCTGATCCCAACCAAACCACTCCAGCCGTTCGTCACGACTTACTCCAAAAGCTACGACAAGCAGTTTCTGCATTCAGAGCTACTGCTCCACGCCAGCCTCCTCAGCGCCCTGAACACATCCCTCTTGCACTACTCACAGCCGAGTATGTTTTCGTCAGGCATGATGCTCTCCGCAACCCATTACAACGCCCCTACGATGGACCCTTCCAGGTGGTTACCCGTTTAGCAAAGTTCCTGACGATTATCCGGAATGGCAGACATGACACCGTCAGCATAGACCGAGTCAAACCGGCCACCTTACCCGTCAGGCCCCCAGCCCAGCAGCACCATCAACAAACTACGCCTGCACCAGTCTACCCGCAGTTACCACCGGCAGCAACACCACGCCCACGACATTTCTGGGCACCCTCTTTTCACCCTCATGTACACCCTGTTCCTGCTGTAGAACCTGCTCCTGCCATGGACCCTCCTCCTGACATAGAACCTGCATCTATCATAGAACCTGCTCCTGCCATGGACCCTCCTCCTGACGCAGCCCCTGCAGCAGCAGGAGCACAACAACCATTGCTTGTACAACCTCCGCTAATCCCAAACCCTCTTTCTCCTCCTAATTCTCCCACAGGTTTTGTGTCATTAGACGGAGTTGTTACACGTAGCGGCCGAGTCGTACGTACACCTGCCCGGTATGTGTTATGTGTGGGACACAACCCGGACAGCATCCAGCCTCCTGCCGCGCCGGGGAGGGGAGGGGGAGTATTGTAGTGGACGTCTCCCCTACAACTGCGTAGCCGCATTCCAATGCCACAGTATTCTAGCAACCAGCCACGTCTTCCCTAGCAACGGAGTCAAGAAACCGGCGACTTCCCACGGGTTTACTTCCGGCGGTTGTGTATATAGGCTCTGTCTCTCCATTGAGATTCATTCTACTCTACGTTCCTGAACACGCAACACCTCCTCCAAGCAAGCTCCTCGCTGTCCAGCTCTCATTCAACCTGGAGGCCAGCAACAGGCAACATCTT